AGGTTTCCGCTCAAGAAAAAGAAAACACACTAATGAAAGTGACTTAATCTTAATACCTTTGACACTCAGTTGGGCCGAGCAAAAGGCTTTCCCAGCTTCATTACTAGCTTGGCAAGTATATTGTCCAGAGTCTCCTTTACCCACTCTGAACACTCGAAGGTGAGCTGTGTTGGCTACAAAGGTAATATTGAAGTTTGCTCCAGTTCGGATCTCCCGACCATCCTTGGACCACGTGACATGTATCGGCTGGGCTCCGGTAACATGGCATTCAAAGTCAGCGCTTTCTCCAAAAGGTACATCAATAGATTCTGGTTTGGTGTCAAAGACAGGTGCTTGTTTGGGTTCTAGAAACACAAGAAAACAGTGTAATATTCATACCTCAAGAAAAAGTTAATCCAACACACAGATACCATCTCATGCATGAAATGGGAAGGGGAGCCTGTGATCCAGGCAAAAGTTTTTAAGTCAACACACCTGCCACTGTGAGCCTAGCACTTGAGGTGGCAGTGCCGACAGCATTGGTGGCTGTACAGGAGTACTGCCCGGTATGATTCATCTCGGTTCGCACCAGTTGCAACACTGCAACATTATCTACAAAGGATGTGTGCACATTGTGGTCGTCGCTTAGCAGCACACCATCTTTATGCCAAGCCACAGTAATGGGTTCTGAGCCATTGAGCCGACACATAAATTTAAGGGGTAAACCAACAGGGTGCTCGATGTCCTTTAATTGTCTTGCAAAGGAAGGTGGTCGTTTGCGCTCTAGAAGAAAGTGAGTAAAGGATATATATGACCCAGGATGCAATTTTTTTATAGTTTTACAAGAGTAAAAGAATTTGTAGCAAGCTAATATAAAATCATCACCTTGAACTGTTAAGAGAGCCTTTGTAGACGCAGTTCCTACACTGTTTTCTGCCTTGCAGATATATTCTCCACTGTCATTGCTAGCCGCTTTGTTGACAATAAGCGTAGCAACGTTGTCTTTAAAGAACACTTTGTACTCAGGAGTAGATCTGAGTTTTGTATCACCTTTGTACCAAGACACAGTGATTTCTGGTGTTCCAGCAACACGGCATTGCAATGTTGTATAATCCCCAACTGACACCTCAAGAGGTTCCAAGTGTGTGATAAAATAGGGAGGTTCTAAAAAACAGAAGCAATTAGATAGGCTCATTATAGTGCCAGGCCTTGAAAAGCATACACTTGAAATAACAGGCAAGAAAAAGAAGCAAAGAGAGCACACACCTAGGGTAGAGACTACAGCCTCACAAACATCTCTTCCTGCCTCATTTTCAACATGGCAAGTGTACTCTCCTGCATCTTCTTTGGTGCTGTCAAGTATTTCCAGGATGCAGGATTTCTCTGTGGTGGTGATGCTACACTTCTGAGATTGAGTGATGGCATGGCCGTTCTTCTTCCATGTCACAGAGATGGGCAGGCTGCCTGTGTAAGCGCCCTCCAGGATGATGGGCTTGCCAGGCTCCACGTATTGATCACTCAGTTTCTTCACAAAGACAGCCGGCTCTAATAAAGGGTAAGAAGTCACAAAGGTTGAGCACAGCAGGACAATTGGAGGGAAGAAAACAATATTTTAAGGTAAATAGGGAGAAGCAATCTTTACAAACCTTTTACTGTAAGGCGTGTTGTACAATTTGCCCTGCCAGCATCATTAGTCACCAGACAAGTGTACTCTCCACTTTGGAGAGGAGTTACATCAAATAACTCAAGCTCCACAATGGAGTCCTCCAAGTAGATATTGCATTTGTCCCCTGGCACGAGCTCATTGGCCCCTCTAAACCAGTTCACCTTAAAAGGAGGGGTTCCTCTGATAACACATGTAAAAGTGATGCTTGTGCCTGGCAAGACATCCAGAGGCTCTGGTGTCCTCTCAAAAGAAGGTGGTTCTAAACACACAAGAGAAAAAGAGAGATAAGACGGGTTGCTACAGCATAACCGTGGCATTTCCACACATATACTGAAGATACAGAATAAAAAGTTTATTTTCCAGTCAATAATTTTCCCCGAGTATATTTACAAAAGATCACAGGTAATTTCAAGAGATAAAGAGAAAAGAATAGATCAGAGAGCTTCCTGACCATCATACACTGACCTTGTACGGTCAATACAGCACTGCATTCATCTGAACCAGCTATGTTGGTAGCTTTGCAGGTGTAAGTTCCAGTATCTGAGTCACTCAGTGAATTCACTTCTAAAATACATAGGTTATCCGAAAAGGAGATTTGATGTTTTTCCCCATTGACTAACTTTAGTCCATTTTGGAACCAGGCAACAGAAATAGGAGGTGAACCTGACACTTTGCATTCCAGCAATGCTGAGGAACCCAGGACACAAGGGGTTTCCTTTAGTTTTCTTGTGAAAGAAGGAGGAATGATTCGATCTGTATAAGAGAATATAATAAATCCATGGTTAGAGAGAAAAGGAGGAAAGGAATGGAAGAAAGGAAAGAGAACATGACCAAAAGAAAGTTTTTGTACTTTTTGACGCAACCAACCTAAAACATCAACCGATGCTGTGCAACTGCTTTTCCCCACGTCGTTCTGCACTGCAAAAGTGTACAATCCACCATCTTCCTTTTCTGCATCCATAATTTTAAGTGTAGAAACTTTATTGAGGAAAGTAATTCTGTATTTTTGGCTGCTGGTCAGTTCTTTGCCATCCTTGAACCACCCAGTGGAAAGCTCTGGTGTGCCTGCCACTTTGCACTCCAAAGCACAGGCGTCTCCTATAGTAACTCTCATTGGCTCTGCTTTCTCTACAATGACTGCAGGCTCTGGAAGGAGAAATGGGTAACTTGTATGGTGAAAACAGGATTTGATTAGTACTAGCTATAAGTATTATAGCACTATAAGATGCAGCTTACACATTTGATACTAAAGATATCTCAAGTTTGCTGGACTAGGGAATTTTTTCAGCTCTGTTTTTTCCATCCTTTGTTCTACCCTAAACTGGAATGTCAGACGCTCTCCAAAATGAAGTAAAAATATTCTTAAACCCCTAGGAGAGAAATGCAACTGTCTTCCTCTCCAAGCAGGCATGAGAAGAAGACATGACTGAGAAATCCGGTCAACTGTATCCCATCACAGTGTAGAGGCCTGTGGTTCCTTTCACCCCTATCCCTGGACAACTGGAAATAAGGAACGTGACTACTGCTTGTTGGGGACACAATGATTCTCTGTTTTGATTGTTTTGAACTCAGAGGCACAAGCAAAGAACACAGCTAACACTAAATAGCTAAGTTCCTAACTTTAAAATAATCTTTTACAAACTTGTGCTTTTTACCAACCTAGAATAGTTAAGGTAGCCATGCATTCACGACTTCCAGCATCATTTCTTATCTGACAGATGTATTTTCCAGCATTGCTTGTCTCTGTGTGCACAAGTTGTAAAGTTGCAATATTTTCCATAAATGTGATCTTCGTGTTTTCACTTTCTCTAATAATTTCCTCTTTGTCTTTAAGCCACTGCACAGAAATCGGCTGGGAGCCCTCCACTCTTGCTTGTAACTCTACCGGTTCACCAACCACAACAGTCACACTGTTTATTTTAGTCAAGAATTTTGGTGGCTCTGAAGAAGAAATATATAGTTACAGTAAATACTCACAGCGTCCATATAAAGAAGAGCAATGCAGTGCCAGTGGGAGCACTGCAGAAGGCATACGTGCTAATACTTTACCTTTCAGCTTCACAGTGCAAAGACAACTGTCACTTCCTACGTCATTCTGTGCTTTGCACTGGTATTCACCAACATCTGCAGCTTCAACATTAAGAATGCGAACGCTTGTATGGTAGTTTTTGGCTGTAACCTTATACTTCTTACTGCTGCGGATTTGTCTTCTGTCTTTGTACCAGGTAACGTCAAATGGTGGTGTTCCTGAGATCTCGCATTCCAGGCTAACCTCAGTTCCCTTGAGCATGTCTACTGGAGAGGGCTTCCTGCTAAAGACAGGAGGTTCTAACAAGGGAAGAAAGGAATATTTTTAGAAAGGAGTCTGGAGTTATTTGACCAACAAACAGTTTACTGATACCAGCTTCTACACAATGAGACTACTGAGAAAATCAACAGAATGGACAAGGACTCTCCCCATTTTCTTGGCACATTATGAAATGATCTTGCAGGTAGGTGAGCACTCAGAGCTCTTAGCTCCTCTGTAGAAAAGGTAAACAGAGGGGTGACCCTTGGCAGAGAGGGTACAAGTCTCATTTAGCTGGTAATAGTCTCAAATACAGGATGTAGATTGGACATTGATCTGTTTAGGTCTGTTCTTTTTCTTCATAGTTCACTTCCTTGATGTAATAACTCCCACTATCATCTGTCTTGGACTCTTAACAATCATAGAACTGAGGAACACCTAGCTTAGGACTCATCTGCATTAACAACACCTGTCTTGTTCAGACCCTGACAGAGGGAGTGAGAAAGACTCAAGAAACAAATGTGACATGAAGAAAAAGGCAGTCATAGAATCATAGAATCATCTGGGTTGGAAGGGACCTTAAAGATCATCTAGTTCCAACCCCTCTGCCATGGGCAGGGACACCTTCCACTAGATCAGGTTGCTCAAAGCCTTATCCAACCTGGCCTTCACCATCTCCAGGGATGAGGCATCCATAAATAAGAAATTAATCTCATGTTCCTGTGGATTTCCAAGGGATAAAATCACCAGGGGAAAGTAGGATTTAGTCAGAGAACAAGAGGACAGCTAACCTTTCACTGTGACTTTAGTGCTACAGCTGGCCTTGCCGGCAGGGTTGTGAGCTTCACAGATGTAGTCGCCACTCTCATCAGTACTGAGATGATTCATTTCAAGCACGGCCACAGAATCAATGAATGACATCCGGAATTTTTCACTGGCAACAATTTCATGGTCATTTCTGAACCACACTACTTTCATCTCTGGAGATCCACTTACTTTGCACTCAAGCCGGGCAGAGTCACCCTGCTTGACTACTTTTGCTGCCTCTAGCTTCTTAGCAAACTTAGGTGGTTCTAAAAAAACAGAAAAATGGGGTCAGGTAGGTCTGAATTAATACTGGAAAGAAAAGAGGAGGGGAAAAAAGCCAAACAACTGTAGGTTGCAAACACAGGGTAGGCAATACACTTTAGAAGTGCATCCAAGATCACGGAGATGGGCTTGGCAAAAAGGAAATAAAAGAAATAGACGAAAAGACTGTAACAAAACAAGCAAGAGTGCACACCTGTTACCATCAATGTTGTAGTGCAAGAATCACTGCCAACGTCATTTGAAACGTGGCAAGTGTAGTGCCCACTCCTAGAAGTATCCACTGAATAGAGGGTTAAGAACCCAGTTGACCCTTCAATCCCCATCAAACAAGTTGAACCAGATATAAGTTGCAAGTCTTCTTTGAACCACTTTACTGTAAAGGGTGGTGTTCCTTTTAGTGTGGCCTTAAACTCCACTGTGGAATCTGGAATGGCTTGCTGGCTTTCAGGTTTTACTAAGAAGCTTGGTGGTTCTGCAGTTTTTAAGAAAAAGAAATTTTCAGTTACATCAGAAATGTCTAAGATTGAAGAAAATTAGTGAGGCAAGCAAGGAGACCAAGTTTTCAGCATTAATATTAAGAGGTATAAGAGTGTTATGTTAGCATAAGATTTAAGATATTTTCCCAGCATCTATCACAAATAAGAAATAGTAAAAGAGTTTCAAACCTTTCACAGTCAGGACAGCACTGCAAGAATCGTTCCCGGCAACATTAGAGACACTGCATGTGTAATTTGCACTGTCTGCCAGCTCTAGATTAGCAATCTCAAGTGACACAGTGTTCTCATGGCACAGGCTTCTATATTTTGCGCTGTCGGTTATCTCATTTCCATCCTTAAACCATTTTGCAGTAATGGGGAGCGACCCAGAAACTTTGCACTCCATTTGGATAGAAGATCCCAGAACAGTATCCTTTTTGGTTAGCTTTTTGATAAATGCAGGAGGAATTGATTGATCTGCCCGACACAAAAAATGGTGAAAAAAACACTGGTTATCTTCTTGCATATCTTTCATAAATAAAGATTATTATTTTTTCATTCCCTGGCTGCTGGATTGGCGAATTTGCCAATTGACGATACAAACCTAGCACAGTCAGAACAGCTTCACATGTGCTACTTCCGAAGTCATTTTCAACCTTGAAACTGTATGTACCACTATCCTCCTTTGATACAGGTTCAATCCTGAAACTGGCCACATTGTTTTCAAAGCTCATTGTGTAGTATCTACTGGGCAGGAGTTGTTTGCCATCTTTATACCATCTTATTCGGAGCTCTGGTGTCCCAGCCACAGTACACTCCAAAGTCACGGGGTCTCTTTCAGTGACTTTAAGCGATTTAGCCTTTTCTATGATCCGTGCAGGCTCTGAGGTATAAAGTGTACAAAAATGGCAGTTAGCTACACAGATAGGGGACTGACTTTCTAAGTACTCATCAAAGACAAGCTTGAAGGGTCACATCTTGTACACACCTTGTACAAAAAGCAAAGCAAAGCACTTGTCCATGCCAGACTCATTCTTTGCCTGGCAGGTGTATCTCCCTCTGTGGCTGAGGTCAACATTGGTAAGTTTCAGTGTGGCCACGTTGTTTTCAAAGGTAACATGGTGATGCTCATCATCTTCTAGTATTTTCTCATCTTTTATCCATGACACAGATAAGGGCTGAGCGCCTGCTACAACACACTGGAAGAACGTGGTACCTTTCAAAACACTAGTGACATTCTCCAGCTTCTTCACGAAGGATGGCGGTTCTGTGGTGTGAAATTTTGTTTGTTGTTTCGAAGAGAAGTCATGGAAAGGGAAGAGGGGAAGGAGAGATCATTTAAAGTTATCCTAGTCACTACAGTTTAGCCAGGGAATGTAATGTTTAGGGTATGCTTCCTGGAGGACTGACCTTTCAAACTGAGCCTTGTGCTGCAAGAACAGCTCCCACCTTCATTTGATATAATACACTGATATTCACCAACATCTGAGACATCACAGTTAGTCACAGTAAGAGTGAATACTGATTCTTTGGTGGAGATAGCATATTTCTTGCTGCTGAACATCTCCTTATTGTTCTTCAGCCACTTCACTTCAAATGGAGGAGTACCAGTCACTTCACACTCAAGTGTGGCCTCCAAACCCTTCACTACCTCAGTGGGTCTCAACTCCCGAACAAATGTTGGAGGCTCTACAAAGAGGAAAGAGGGGAAAGTAGGTAGTAACCTTGAATGGTTTTGAGGGGAGAAGTCTCCCCTACTCCACCATCCCAGCTATGTCACATAGCTGGATGATGACAAGATGTTCAGAACCAACCTTTTACTTTCAGCTCGATGCTGCAGCTCTCACTACCTGCATCATTATGGGCTTCACAAACGTAAATCCCACTATCAGACACTCTGGCTTGAGTGACTTTCAAAGTGGCTAAACCGTCTATGAAGGAAATGCCGTACTTAGCTTGGTCAGTCACTTCATTCCCATCCAGGTACCATGTGACGTGGATCTCTGGTGTGCCTACTACCTGGCACTCAAAAGTGGTGGACTGTCCTTCACGCAAAGCTACTACAGAAGTTGGCATCTGAATAAATCTGGGGGGCTCTAGAAGATGGACAGAAAAGGTGAGGCTTTATAATATTCAAGCTGGTTTAAAAACATACAAGGGTTTCCTACCCCCTCCCCCCAAATTGCACAGAAAAATCAGAACCACGAAGATGAGAAGAACATTGGGTTGCACACCTTTTACAAACAGAGCTGCTTTGCAAGTTGCAGTCCCCACTTCATTGCTTATCTGACAAGTGTAGTTCCCAGAATCAGATGTTCTAGCTGAGTAGAGCTCCAGTACACTAGATGTATCGTCCTTCCAGACAGATCGATTTGCTCCAGAGAGGAGCTCCTGGCTGTCTTTAAACCACTTTATCTGCAGAGGAGTAGAGCCTTTCACCAGTGCTTTGAACTGAACCCTAGCATTGGGCACAACCTCTTGGGACTGGGGTTTTTCCACAAAATATGGCGGTTCTATAACATGTAAAAAGGAATAAAGAGGATTACTCTGAGACAAGGGAATTCCAATATTAAAATGAGAGATCTAACACAAGACAAAGAAGGAGCTCAAACCTTTGACTGTTAAGAAGCCACTGCATTGGTTGCTTCCTGCCTTATTTGTTGCTTCACAGGTGTAAGAGCCACTGTCTGTGCCTTCCAGTTTATTGATTTCTAGAAATGCAGTATTGTCATGGAAAGAGTATTTGTGCTTTTCACTTGCTGTTATTTCTTGGCCATCCTTGTACCACTGGATACTTATAGGATGTGAACCAGACACTATGCATTCCAGGTGAACAAAAGACCCCTTAATGCTGTCCATTTTCTTGAGCTTTTTGGTGAATTTCGGTGGTATAATGAGATCTATCCAAGACAGAGTAAAAAGACAAAGTATGAAATTCAGCCTTGATTGTGGCAGATGTCAGCTCAGGAGAAAAGATTTTGTATGTAAAAACAGTGATAAAAGAGAGCCCATACACACCTAGGACGTTAATGGTGGCAGAACAGCTACTGCTCCCAACGTCATTGTGAACCTCAAAAACATACTCCCCACTATCTTTCTTTTCTGCATGAAGCACCTTTAGGACTGAGACAGTATCTGTAACACTGATCTTGTATTTTGGGCCTAACATCAGTTCCTTGCCATCTTTGAACCATTTGGCTGTAATATCTTTCGTTCCTGAAAATTTGCACTGCAAGGTTGCTGGGTCTCCCTCAGTCACATCTATTGACACAGCCTTGTCCACGATTGTAGCAGGTTCTGTTGTAAACAAGGAGACAGACAGTTAAGGGCATCTGTAAAAATCACAAGGGAATGGTCTGAGATCACTGCAAGCCCTTAGGGCAGGACCAACCTTTGACAGTCAGCAGAGCAGAACACCTCTGAATTCCCGCCTCATTTTTAGCCTGACAGAAATATTTCCCATCGTGTTTCAGTTCAATAGACCTCACCAGAAGAGTGGCAACATTGTTCACAAAGGTCATTTTGATATTGTTATCTTCAATCACTTCATCATTGTCTTTCAGCCAGGACACAGTGATGGGCAAGGAGCCTTTAATAGCAGCCTGAAACACGACTGTTCCCCCTCGAAGGGAACTAATGTTTTCTATCCTCTTCAAGAACTGCGGGGGCTCTGGCAGGAAGAAAGTGGCTATGTAAGTACGGGTCTGGCGCATGACAGTGTGGCATGGAAACCACACTGGGATAAGAACATGCTAGTGGTGTTCTGCACCTTACACTAACCTTTCAGTGTGACCTCTGAACTGCAAAGGCAGCTCCCGACATCATTTGTTACTCTACATTGATACTCGCCAACATCAGAAGCATCAAACCTGAAAACGTGGAGGCTAATCAAAGATTTCTCAATGCTTATTCTGTGCTTCTTACTGCTCCGCACGGGTTTATCATCTTTCACCCAAAACACTTCAAAGGGAGGTGTGCCAAGCACCTCACACTCCAAAACCACATCAGAATCCTTCAAGACTTCCATGGATTGAAACTCCTTGCTAAAATAAGGTGACTCTACAGTGCAAAAGAGAGAATGCAGTTTGTATTAATCATACTTTCAAAGTCTGTAAAACTGCACTGAGTTTAAAGAGACAAACTGAGTAACTGGATGTCACACACACCTTTGACTGTAACAACGCTACTGCAAATATCTTTTCCAGCATCATTTTTGGCCTCGCAAATATATTCCCCACTGTCTTCAGTCTCAACCTCTGTAAGATAGAGTATTGCCAAGGATTTTGCAAATGACATCCTGTATTTGTCACTTTCTTTTAGCTCTCTATCATCCTTGAACCATGTGATTTTAATCTCAGGAGTACCAGTGACTTCACAGGTCAGCTCAGCATATCCACCTTTCTTTACCAGATAGGTTGGCTCTAGTTTCTCCTTGAAGGCAGCAGGTTCTGTGGATTTAAGAAGAGTGTTGAGGACAAAGAAGGCATGAAAGAGTGCCACTGGCTCAATCCAGCAGCTGAAAGTTTAAAAGACAGTAAGAACGCAAACCTTTCACAAACAAGTTTGCACTGCATGTTACTGAACCAGCTGCATTGGAGACTTTGCAAGTGTATTTTCCTGAGTCTGTTGGTTTGACCGCGTAAAGCTCCAAGTAACTTGCTAATGCTTCTGTCATAACGTAGCAGGCTCCTCCTGTCACTAGCTCAGTATCACCTTTAAACCATTTCACTGTCAGTGGTGTCGTGCCTTTAAACATGCCTTTGAAACGTACGGTAGATGCAGGCAGTACATCTTGGGAGTCTGGTTCTACAGTGAAGCTGGGCGGCTCTAGATTGCATTGAAAGGAAACAGTTGTGAAGAGTAAGACACATGGCCTTCACTTTAGGGAAGAAAAGTATTATCACATGAAAAGTAAAGCTCCAAGAAATGTTAAACAAATTGCCAAACCTTTTATAAACAAAGTGCTACTGCTGTCTTTGCTACCAGCAGAATTTGTGGCTCTGCAAATGTAGACTCCAGCATCACTTGCGTCTAGGTGTTTTATTTCCAAAGATGCAGACCCTTCTGCAAAGTGTACTGTGTACTTGGCACTTGAAGTGATCTCAGTGTCCTGCTTAAACCAAGAGACAGTCATTGGAAGAGAGCCTGAAATTTTGCAGTCTAGGCGGCACGAGGCGCTAACGATGCTGTCAATATTCCTCAGTGGTTTAGTAAAGAAGGGAGGGAGAGTGCGATCTGTTGAGTGAAAAAAATGAAAGAAACCATGAGTGAAACAGGTATGCAGTTCTGCTTCTGTCTCTGCTGGGCTCAGAGCAGAGCAGCAGGGGGCTCTTGGAAAAGAGTCAGTACCAACCTAGCACAGTGAAGCTGGTAGTAAAAGAGCTCATGCCCACATCATTGGATATCTCAAAGGTGTACTCGCCACTGTCCTGCATTTCAGTGGCATAAAACTTGAGCTGGGCAATATTATTTTTAAAGCTGATCCTATATTTTTTGCTGGCAGGTAGTGGCCTTCCATCTTTGAACCATTTGGTTTTTAGCTCTGGTGTGCCTGTGACAGTGTACTCCAAAATGGCTGGTTCCCCTGCTGTTACCTGGATCAAGTCGGATTTTTCAATGATTTTGGCAGGTTCTACAACAGAGTTAAACAATTGGTGTTAAGGACAAAAGAAAATTTCTCTTCCTCTCAGATGGGAGACAATGCAGGGATCACGGCACTACTCCACTGACCTTTCACTGCCAGTTCACCAAAGCAGGACTGACTTCCTGCATCATTCTCAGCCACGCAGGTGTATTTGCCACCAGAGCTCAGCTGGACACCAGTAATTTGCAGTGTTGCTAGACCATGTTCAAATGTCACTCTCACTTTGTTATCATCTTGAATAACGTCTTTGCCTTTCATCCACATCACAGAAATAGGCTCTGACCCCTTCACCACAGCCTGTAATGTAACACTATCTCCAGCCAGAGCTGTCACATTTTCGATTTTCTTAACAAAAATTGGTGGTTCTAGTTCAAAGAAAAGAGATAAGAAGAAATACTCATCTGCTTTTACATCATTGCATGAAATCTGCTGCTTAAAGACAGTTTTTTGAGACAGTCTGTGTAGTACATGGCACAAGCTAAAGAGCAGACAAGGAGAAAAGCTGCATTCCCAGCTGGAAGTTAATGCATGGCCCTTTAAGCTCCATGTCCTTTAAATTCACAGGTTTGATGGCAGATAAGAGTTAGATATGCATAGAATTTTAAGCAAAGAAGACACTCTCCTTCCCCATCCTCCCTAGCCACCCACAAATACAAAGAAAAGACATTTTAAGAAATGAGAGGTTCTTGTCAATCCCTTCATTAAGTGGAGTTTTCTCTCTCCTACTGACCTTTCAAGATGTATGTTGCGCTGCATACACACTTCCCGACTTCGTTAGCTATCACACATTCGTATTCACCGACATCCGCACTATTAAATGAGGACACCTCCAGAGAAATAACAGCTTTCTGAGAGGTCAACCTGTATTTTTTACTACTGCGAATCTGTTTCTTGTCTTTGTACCAGCTAATCTCAAATGGTCCAGTGCCAGCCACCTCACACTGAAGAACGGTGTTTGTTCCCTTCACTACCTCTGCTGGTTCAAGTGTTCGGATGAAAGATGGAGGCTCTATAAAAGCAGCGAGAAAGAATTAGTCATCCATGGGAAAAAAAAAAAAAAAGAAAGGAAGGTTTTTCTCAAGAATGGACTGTCAGCAGCAAGAAGAACAGACCTTTGACAACTATTTCGGTGGTGCAGCTGTCACTTCCAACCTCGTTCACAGCTTCACATGAGTAGCTTCCACTGTCATCAACTTTCATCTCCAAAATATCTAACACAGCTACCAAATTGACAAAGGACATCCTGTGTGTGTTGCTTTCACGGATTTCTTTATTGTTCTTGAACCAAGTAACCTGGATTTCAGGAGAACCTTTGATTTTGCATTGAAGGCGCGCAGAGTCACCTGGGGTCAGTAAGTAAGATGGATCGACCTTCTTCACAAAGGATGGTGGTTCTAAAAATGGGAAGAAGGGGGAGGAAGGGGGAGGAA